AACTGTGCAGGACGGTGCATAGTAAATAGTGCATTCATTGTTTAATCCATTTTGTGTCTGAATCAAAATGGATTAAGAATTGTTCTTCAAAGACAGAAAATGGGTTACATCTTTGGAGTGGGAGTGGGTCAATTAATTAAAAAAGGTGTTTGGTCAATACTGAAGAAAAGAAAAGTGAGAAGGGAATTGAACAAACAATGAAGGATTTCTTTTGAGAATATAATTACCTGATATACATGGGATGTGAGAAATCTTGTGCCATTCTGGGCCGCTCAGGAGGGTGGATCTTCCCCCTAGACCTGGACATGTAACAAGTTTAGTGAGGCGTTGCATAACCTCAATGGCAGGAAGATACACCAGATTCTCACACGCCTTAATCCTCAGATGGGTAAGAGATGTAAGGTTACCCCAACCACTCTGGAGGAGCCTCCAAGCTGTCGAAATCCTTCATATACAAGTCTTGTAGACAAATGCAGTGTTGAAATTGTTGTCGAGGTAGAGAGACTTGAGCTTTGGCTACCCTGTGATCTTCAGCCATAACAAGCAAAGAACTAGCTCATACAAGATTACTACCACTGGCAGCCAACACATAATGGCCTGTATCAATATTATCTCATGATTCCTGCAAACCACCATGTTTCATCCTTATCAGTTTGTGCTTGCCATGACACATCGTGGTTGATCAGCTTCACAAATCCATCTGATGGACACCTCCACCTACCTCATGCAAGGATCTATAGCAAATACATCCCCATCCCCTCTGGAAAAGAATCAAGTGGTGAGAATGAGGCAGATGAAAAATGCTGATCACAACCTGACCCGAAAAAGTATAAAAAGTTGAAATGACAACAAAACTTATGAACATGTTACTGAAACTGATATGCAAAATAAACTCACATTCGTGTAAGCGCATCAAACTTAATTTCATTGAGAATGAACAGAGGTTAGTATCTACTTAATGATAGTATATCATGTGTATATAATCTGTATTGAAACAGACGGAATAACATCTATATATATAAAGCAAAAGTGTGAATACTTTTCTCATATATAAATAGGAGAATGATTTCTCAGAATAATCATATTCTCCTCCGTGCTAGTAAAGTGATGTTATGATTAGATGGGAATGTATGATATGATTATTAGGGTAATTCTTTCTTTTTCTGCATTGATCTCCAAAGAAATGAGTAAATAACGATGCAGAGGAAAAGGAACTGAAGTGAAGTACCTGGACTAAGATCCTTCTGCAAACCAACAACGGATATAGGAAGATATGGAAAACATTAAGCAGAGGCTAGAGAAGAGTAGAAAGCTCTGAAAATCTAGTTTAACAATTAATCTGATGAGAGAAGAAGAGTAGACTCGCTTTGTGCTCCAACTCTGCTAGCTAGTTTGTGATGGAAGCTCAAAATCAGGGACAGAATCAAGCTCCTCTGAAAATGGACCCATTTTCATAGATTCTAAACGCGTAAGAGAGCGTAGCCCCTCTATTGGCAAATAGTTTAATTTCCCACAATTAAATATATCTAAAGAGGAAAGGGACTGCAACCTGGATACATCTAGATCTGCCAGAGATATCAAATTGTGGCATGACTTGATTCTCAACTTCTTAAGAGATGTGCAGGATGATAGCCCACTCGGTAGACTTGTCAATCCATCACAACAAAAAATCTCCAACTCCTGAAGAGAGATGCAATATTCTTAAGATAATTTCTTACAATTCTGAATCTGCAATTTGAGGAGACATGGCATTCCCTTGCCCTTGCCGAGGGTAATTGGAATGAACTCGAGACGAGAGCAATGCCTTATAGTCAAGTCTTCAAGGCAGGGAAACACCGCTACTTTCTCATCTGTTGGCAGTTCCTCCCATTTAATTAGAGCTGGGCAATAATAAATAGTTAAGCTTTTCAATGCTGGGAACAAAGTCTCTTTCTTCTTCGTACCGTCAACATGGTTATAACCATAAAACTCAACTCCCACACATTTAAGCTTTAACATATATCTAAACTCAACAAGCCTAAGATTTGGTAAATGGCCAAGTGATGGGACTTGTACGCATTCTAAGCAATTCCGTAATCGAATCTCTGTCAAATTGAGTGGCAACGAACCACTCATCATCCATGATGCTAATTTAGAACCCATGAATCTGTCAATCTTTAAGATCTCTAACTCAGAGTTGGGTCGGAGGCCTTCTAGTACATCAATGTCTTTCTCGTTTCTGCCCCTGTAAAAATAGTCCCATTGTAATGTCAACCTTCGTAGATTTGCTTTCCCAACTAAATTTGATGCC